TGATTTTACATGATACAGCCCCTTTAAACAAGTTGAAGTAGAGTTTTTGAAAACATCCCTAAGATTGTCCTATTATGTCTGCAAAACATGTAAAATGGGGGAAATCCTTGTTATTTATGGACAATCTGCACAACTTGACATGAATGAATCCAGTTTTATAGGAATTGTAGTTTTGAAATACAAACCAATATCTGCTGTGTTTTCTTTTCTTTTTGCAACCAAAATATCTTGGGGGAAGAAATACTATTATAAAATGTATCATCTAATATCTATTGTTTTTACGTCTCATAGGGGGCCGAAGCCTGTCTGCTCATGAACCAGAGTGAAGGGAAACACGAGAGACATTTTCAAAATCACTTCAAGCGTAAGCGTTAGGAATGTGTTTTCTTGCGTTCTTCCAATGACAACACAGCCAAACCCAGACATGAGATTATCATTTTTCTAGCTGACAAAGAAACAAAACAAAACATGCCTGAGACGTAAGCTGAGTCTCCCTGCTGGAAAATGCTGTGAGCAATCTTCTGACTGGTTGAGTCCTGATCAATGTAGCCGTCAAACCTCCTGAGTGGATCAGTGTCGATGATTCGTCCCACTATCATCCCTGGCTCCCCTGCAGAGGCACAAACAGACGATATTATGTGTCAGCACCGCATGTTTATCCTGGCTCTTATGTGTGTGATATTACCAGGCTGACAGGGGATGCAGAGTCCCTGAGAATCCCTGAGAAGCTCTTTATGATCATCTTTCACCCTGACAAGTCGGATGGGGTAAAAGTTAGGCAGGATGCGGCTACTGAAGCCACACGCTCCCACCTAAATGTGAACACATGCACCATGAAACGATATGTTTAGAACTGAGAGTTTTCAGTCATTTTCATATGAACTTACCTTTCCGTCTATGTTTATCAGGCTGCAGTTGCATTCAGTTGCTCCATAAAATTCTCCTACTTTTTGGATTCTGAATCTTTGAACAAACTTTTCCCACACAGAGGGACGGAGGCCATTACCAACAGCTACTCTGACCTGATGCTGCGCCTCAGATGGACAGACAGGCTGTGCCAGCAGGTAACGACAGATCTCACCAATATACTGAATCACCTGGGTAGTCACATAGAAAGAGGCACAAATACACACTAAGCCTGTATGATTTGTTTACAGAACTACAAAAGTATACAAACTATAACTACAAACTATAAAAGGAAAACAGTAGGACTTGCTGCAGAAACACTTAAAGTAACAGGAGGAACTCACAGTGCAGTTGTGTTTGACGCAATCGTCCCAGAAACGACTGGCTGAAAATTTCCTCCTGAGTACAACAGTCAAACCAAAGAGCAAACACTGCCCTACACCCATGATGGTGCCTGCCAACATAAAGATTCATTCATTTCAAGACGTTTTTTGTAAAAATTTATTGTCTTAAACTATGTTTACAAAAAGCCTTAATATCCTGTATAGAATTCATATAACCTGAGTTATGTATAGCCAGAGTTTTAGACTAATATCTTCTTTTAATGAGAAGAGACTTAGTCAAACATAGTGTCATCTCACAAGTGCCAAACTCCGGGCCTGCAGGCCAAATGTGGCCTGCCAAAGCATTTTCTGTGGCCCACAAGTGCTTCAAAGATGTATTAATGTTTTAAAGCCACTATTGACCATAAACTGTGTCTCTCATAATGCATGTTGGTTGTTTTACCTGTGAAGTGATAGCATCCCAACACTAGGTGGCGCTGCACAGGTTTCAAAAGTAACCTTTGAAATTCGCTGTGAAAAATCATTTAGTTGCTTATTTGCCAGCACTTTTTGCTGCGGCCCAGGTGCACTGGAATTTCCCATTTACAAGTAGTAAATTTAAACTGGAATGCCCCTCCAGTGGGAATTCTCTGTCAGAAAGTGGGAGAGTTCAGAATTCAAGATGGCAGCTACTCACCACAACTCATCAGTGAGTAAAACTCTCTAGTTTTACTTTTAATAGCGTTTCACATTTACTTAGTCCTATATGGAGT